CGGGGACTGAGGGTACCTCCTTTTATCCCATTTTTACATTTCAGATTACAAGCGACGTGCACATTCAGGGGGTTTTTTATCCTCTACAAATGGCCTCCAGTCGTCTTTGCCGATGCCTTGAAGGGTTAGTCACAGACAGCGCACAACGGAGTCCCAACCTTGGTCCTTGAAATCACATGCCAAACTTTTCCCTCATAAACTGCTTCACCTGCGGATTTCCCCCCTTTCCAACCGCTAAGCCCTGTGGATTCCCCTCTACCTTCAGCCCGTGCAATGATCTGACCCTCGACAGCGCCACATACACCTGTCCCTCCTCAAACGACCGCGACAAATCCACCACAGCCCGGTCCAGCGTCATGCCCTGCGATTTGTGTACAGTCATTGCCCAGGCTGCAGCCAGCGGGATCTGGGTGCGGCACAGCAGCGAAAACGGCGTCCGATAGCCTAGCTCTTGCACTTCGCACTCGGCCATGACGGTGAGCGTGACGCCGTTTAGGAAGCGCACGATAGGCCAGCGAAGTTGCGGCTGATCTTCGAGATGTTGCTCGACAAACAATTTTACGCCCTTCTCTCTGGTTGAACTGTACTCCCCGACGTACCAGCGTAGGGTTGTCGGGTTGTACGGTTCGAAACCAATAATGGTGCCTTGGCTGCCGTTGCAAAGGCCTGCAGCCAGATTGATGTTGGCAAGCAGAACCACGAGCATGCCAATCTTGAGGTCGATGCGACGATCAAAGTGATGGTCGTTGAGGGCGACAAGGGAGTTGTCTGGGTTTCTTCGGCCTTTGGACTTGAGGTGTGGGTGGTGGTCGCCCTTCCAGATGAACTTGTCTCGGCATACGTAAGTGTGCGGCGGGCTCTTGAGGCGCCGGAAGGCTTCATTGTTGATGCGGCGGGCTTCGTCGCGAGTGGGAAAGAGTTTGATGGCATCGGCCGCCACGGAGCGGTGAGTCATGAGGGTGTCGATTTCGTCCTGGGTAAAGGGGATACCGAGACGGCACTTTTGCAGCATAGAAATGAAGTCGGGATCGTTCTGGCGGTGGATTGACTTGAGGTGGACGTGTACAAAGTTGCACTCAGCCCAAGCTTCGCTGCGGAATGCCCACTTGTCGCTGTCGTTGTACTCGATTTCACAGCAAGGGCAGCAATGGATGGTGTCTTCTTCTTCATCTGTCGATATAAGATCACTTCCGCAAGTTATGCAGTGCTGAAAGGGCTTTACGGGTGGAAGCTGGCAAAAGTCTCCCGTGACAATAAGCTGCACGCCGCCAAAAGGAGAGTTGTTGCCGCGGGCACTCTTCATGACAGCGTTAAGCCGCTCCAGGTGCAAGTTCTCGACCATGCTAATCTCATCGATGATGAGGGTGTCAGTTTCCTCGAAACGCTTGCGTATAACCTTGCCGAGCGCTGCTGTTTCCAATTCTTCGAGTTTCCGCTTGTGGTGGTTAGGTGTCCATCCGGCATAACTCCAGGTCGTGGTGCCGTTAATAGCCAGAGCAGCCTTGCCCGTTGGCGCCACGACTTGGACATTTTTGCCCATATTTCTCAAACGTGCTCTGGTGGCATGTAGAACAGTTGACTTGCCACAGCCTGCGGATCCGGTATAGAAGATATTGCGGCCGCTAGCGGCGAGCTCGACCACCTCCAGCTGCTCGGGGCAGAGGACGGGCTGCTGCTCGGGATAGAGGACTGGCTCACTAGCTTGCTCAGGCACGGGCTGCGCCGCAGACGCGACTGGCAGTTTTGGTGTCGTGGCAGCTACGTCAGCCGCAGCCAGCGGCCCGACGTACGGAGGTTCGTAAGTGCGGGTGCGGGACTCGAGTTCGGTAACGCCAAGTACGTGGCTCGTGTATGCTATCCTGCTCTGGGCTAGCTGTAGTAGGAGGTCAACTGACTGCCTAGAGTGTTTTGTATTCTTGTCGTCCAAGAAGGGGGATTCGATGTGGGACTCGAACTGTCTCTGAACATTCCAGTACTCCCGCGCCATAGCAAGCGCAGCCTCGGAGAGCGGGCGTCCCAGGTGGTCGACGCTGGCGGGTTCAGTCGGCCGTTGCGCTGCACGAACGTTGCTTGTAGCTCCATTGTGTTGCTTGGTCAGCGCCAGAATTGCCGCTTTTTGTCGCCCGAGAAGCGTTCCCAGTTGACGGAAGCGTCCCATCTCGCCGATTATAAGAAGTGCGATGTCGGGAGGGATGGGTGTGTACCTAAGGTACCTAGGTACCTCGTGTTTAGATAGCAAGAAGATGCGACAGAATCACATTGTTTCCGTTTGGCGCACAATCGCAAATCGGTTGATCTGAGAAAATGAACTACAACCTGGTCTTTCGTAACTACATTGGAGCCCGAGCCAACCGCCGAGTGAGTTTGCATTGTTATTCTGAGTGTTGATAACCAATCAAATCAAAGCGCGAGCTACGTCTCCCTTTGTTTCTTTCTTCCTTTCTTTTTTTTTTCCGCCGTGCGTGTTTTGTTTGACCGAATGAGGTATCCGAGCAATCATTGTCAGCCTGTATACACGGATGGATGGATGGAATTTATTTCGCCCGGAGGCACTGGGCCTAATCCTATAGGGCCTTAGCACGCTAACTACATCCGGATCAAATTGATTTGCCTTTAACTCGTACAAGCCCCCTACTTCTTCCCTCTTTCTCGCTGCACCATTTACCTCTTGCCTTGGTTGTTGTTAGCAGATCAGCTTGGAGGCTACTTTCTCCAAGCGTTCAGCGTCCTATCTTCAGCAGCTAAAGCGGGACCTGCTGGTTAAGGCTCGTGGCTGAGGCTCGTGGTGTTGAGTGTCGGCTTCTTCTACTGTGACTGGTCTAGACTCTCCTCCTCATTCAGCTCCAGCCTTCCTGTTGCCATTGCGTAATTGATCGTCGCCCGGGACTGCCTTCATATCTGGTGACCAATGCCTTGTATCCGATGGCGCTTTCCCTCCTAGATAGAACGAGAGGCTTCCTCGTCTTGCCCACTGTGCATTGCAGCATGTCTTCCCTCAGAGCTGTCCATCTCACGCATCGGAAAAGAAAGTGTTCCACTGATTCCCTCGCTTGTCCACAGGCACAAAGGTCTGACTCGGCCGCCCCAATCCTGATCAAAAAGCCGTTCAGTTTCGCCATTCCGGTTCAGAGCTGCGCCAATACGCAGGCCTCCCTTCGCTTCAGCTTGTCATAGAGATCGCGCGTGTGCTTGCCTGGTAGTGCTGCGTCCATGGCCTTTGAGAACTTGCCCACGCCTACAGGTAGAACTCTTGTCGCCCGTTGTCTTTCCATTGCCAGCCTCATCGCGGTAGACTTGGCCTGGGGCATTTGGGAGTCGGGTGTGCGTCCTTGCTTCGACGCTCTCTGGGCTGCTGCCTTGGCATCTGACCCCAGCGCGAAGTCAATCTCCGCTGGTATCCACAGAAAGGTGACCGAGTTCCGTTTTTGTCGGTGCAGCCTGGCCAAGTCGTAGATTTGCCGTATGATGCTTTGGCTGGATTGCTGCCGCGGCCGTCCAACTGCTGCCAGCGCTGACTGGTTCCTAGTGATCACGGTGATGTGCCTGTGGCAGATGCTAGCCGGTAACTTCTCCAGGGCCATTGCGATGGCTGCTAGCTCTGCTGTATATGGGTTCTGCTCTTCCCTTGTCCCAAGAACAACAGCATAGTTTGTCACAGTCTCGCTAGTCCTGTTGAAGAGAGTATCCCGTGCAAGGCCGCCCATGCCAACAATGCCCTTCTTTACGGATGAGCTGGTTGCGATCACGATTCCCGAGATTTTGTTGACCATCTCGGCCGCCTTCCCTCGATCGGCTTCGAGCGTCGGTCGTAGGCGAGGTACCCAGGGCGGGACGGCGTATTCCTGGATTGTCTCCATCCGGTCAACTCGTACTCCTTCGGCCACGCGGGCAATTTTCTGCAGCGGAGATACAAATCGTACGGTGGTCCGGACTTTCTTCATGGCAAGGGGATGCGTTCCGGGCAGCGTGTGGATGTTGATCCACAGACTGGCTGCCGCCTGGGCGTGTCGTTCTCGTACGGGGTAGATGCTCGCTTCAGCTTCCACCACGGCTGTTGCCGCGGTTCGAAAGGATGGATGGATTGAATAAACAGGAGCTTCCAGCTGGAGCATGCTTACGAACCAATTGAAACTCGCGATAACGAGCATTTCCTTATCAATTTTGCATAACTAGTTAACTAGTAATTTCCAAAAGTTTGAGCGCAATATTGTCCTCCGGACAGGATAAATAACCTCTAGTCGTCTTCGGTGATAGGTTGAGGGGTTGGCCAGACACAGCGCAGCCCCAACCTTAGAATTACATGTCGAACTTTTCCTTCATAAACTCCCTCACCTGCGGATTTCCCCCCTTTCCAACCGCCAAGCCCTTTGGATCCCCTTCCACCTTCAGCCCGTGCAATGATCTGACCCTCGACAACGCTACATACACCTGTCCCTGTGCAAACGCCCGCGACAAATTCACCACAGCCCGGTCCAGCGTCATGCCTTGTGACTTGTGTACGCTCATCGCCCAGGCTGCTGCCAGCGGAATTTGGGTGCGGCACAGTAGCGAGTAAGGCCTATGATAGCCTAGCTCGTGCACTTCGCACTCGGGCTCGATGGTGCGCGTGATACCGTTTATGAAGCGCACAATAGGCCAGTAAAGTTTCCGGCGGTCCTGCAGCTGCTTCTCGACAAACAGCTGTAATTGTTCCTCTCTGGTTGCGATGTATTTTCTGTGGCGGGACCGGGGTGGGGTTTTCTCATCGTACCGCTCAAAGCCAATGATGGTGCCCTGGCTGCCGTTGCAAAGGCCCTCAGACAGGTCGAGATTGATGAGCAGGACGACGAGCATGCCAATCTTGAATTCGATGCGAGGTTCGAAGCGGTGTTCGTTGAGGGCGACGAGGGAGTTGTCTAGGTTTGTTTGACTCTTGGACTCGAGGTACGGGTGCTCGTCTTCGTTCCAGACGAACTCGTCTAGGCAGGTATAGGAGTGCGGCCGGTTCTTGAGGCGCGCGAAGGCTTCCTCATTGGTGCGACGGACTTCATCGCGGGTGGGAAAGAGCTTGATGGCATCGGTGCCCACGGAGCGGGGAGCCATGAGAGTGTCGACCTCGTCTTGGGTAAAGGGGATACCGAGACGGCACTTTTGCAGCAGAGAAATGAAGCCGGGGTCGCTCTGGCGGTGGATCGACTTGAGATGGACGTGTACAAAGTTGCACTCGGCCCAAGCTTTGCTGCGAAATGCCCACTTGTCGCTGTCGTGGTACTCCCTCTCGCAGTTGGGGCAGCGGTGAATGGTTTCTTCCTCTTCCTCTGTCGGTATAAGATCACTGCCGCAGGTTATGCAGTGCTGGAAAGGCTTTACAGGAGGAAGCTGGCAAAAGTCTCCGGTGACAATGACCTGGACGCCGCCGAACGGAGAGTCGTCACCGCGGGCGCTTTTCATGACGGCGTTAAGCCGCTCTAGGTGCAAGTTCTCGACCATGCTAATCTCATCAATGATGAGGGTGTCAGTTTTCTCGAAACGCTCTTGTATAGCGCATCCTAGCACTGCCTCTTCCAGTTCTTTGAGTGGCCGCTTGTGGTGGCCAGGTGTCCATCCGGCATAAGTCCAGGTTGTCATGCCGTTGATAGCTAGGGCAGCCTTGCCCGTTGGTGCTAGAACTTGGACGTTCTTTCCCATACTTCTTAGGCGCTTCTTAGCGGCATGTAGAACGGTGGACTTACCGCAGCCTGCAGATCCAGTGTAGAAGATGTTGCGGCCATTGGCGGCGAGTTCGACCACCTCCAGCTGCTCGGGGCAGAGGACGGGCTCACTGGCTTGGTCCGGCTGCGCGAGCTGCACCTCAGGCGCGGCTGGCGGACTTGGGGCTATGGCAGCTAGGTCGTCTACAGTGAGCGGACCAACGTACGGAGGTTCGTAAGTGCGGGTGCCAGACTCGAGTTCGGTAACGCCAAGTACGTGGCGCGTGTATGCTCTCCTGCTCTGGGCTAGCTGCAGCAAGAGGTCGATTGGCTGACTAGAGTGTTTTGTACCCTTGTCTCCCCCACTGTAGGAATCGAATTGTCTCTGGAAATTCCAGTACTCCCGCGCCGTAGCAAGCGCAGCCTCGGAGAGCGGGCGTCCCAGGTGGTCGACGCTGGCGGGTTCAGTCGTTGGCCGTTTCGCTGCACCAATTTTGCTTGCGGCTCCCTTGCGTCGCTTGGTCGGCGCGCTTGTCGTTTCAGGCGCCAGAATTGCCGCTTTTCGTCGTCCGAGAAGGGCTCCCAGTTGGCGGAATGGTCCCATCTTGCCGGTTATAAGAAGTGCGATGTCGAGATGGATGGGTGTGTACCTGGGTAGTACCTCGTGTTTAGATAGCAAGAAGATGCGACAGAATCACATTGTTTCCGTTTAGCGCACAGTATCAAATTGGTTGATATATGAATGAGAAAATGAGTAACAACCTGGTACTTTGTAAATGCATTGGAGCCCGAGCCAAAGGCCGAGCGAGTTGACATTTTGAAGTTTTGAGAGTCGGTAACCAATCAAATTAAGCGCGAGCCCGGCCTTTTTTCTTCTTTTTTTTTTTTTTTTTTCTTTTTAATTCTTCTTTTTCCTTCTTTCGCCGCGCGTGTTTAGGTATCCGAGCAAGAATAATGTCAACCCACACACCACGGTATGGTGGTGATGAGAACATCGCCGTTGATGTGGGGTTGGGCCTCAGCTGCCGGTGAGCCTTCTCAGCTTCACCACTTCCATCTTGCCAAGCGCTGCCCCAGAATGGTCCGTGCACACTGACCAGGACGCCCCACAGCCTGGCTGGGGAAAGACCCACTCAAGCCACTGGTGAGCAGCTCCTTCCAAGAATCGCAGGGGCGTCAGCGGCCTGGTCCGGGAACCGAAACAACTCCTGCCAAGATCCAGGTCTCCCTGTTTCCTTTCAGCTGCAACCAAACCATTTCAGGCCCTTGATTCGAATATTCGGGCACTTCGTTGGCCCCTTCTTGTCTTTTGGGTATCACGCTTTTTCCACCAACTTCGCCGTGTGGTTTGGTTGTCCTTGATTGCCCGGTCATCTCCGTTGCCCAGCTCCAGTGTCTCATCATCAGCTGTGTTCAGCACCAAATGAGCATTTGACCAACCAGGGAGTCATTTTGCCTCTGGCCCGTCCCGACTTCAATTCGTGGTGTCAGCCTCGATTCCCTCTCTTTTTTTTTTCCTCGCCCGTCTCTACCTCCTACCTGAATTGCTACTGCGCTGTTTTGACAGCCAATCCGCCCCTTCGCCTACTCTGCAGCGCCCCTAGTGAACACATGACGACAGGCCGCATTTCCGGGAGATCCGACGACCACCCTCTGAACAACCGGCAATTCAATTTCGCGGTGGACCAAACTGCGAGATAAAGGATAGAAGAGGCAACGCACATTGCTGTCTCGGTGTTTTTCTCAGCCCAGCGTGAAGCACTGTTTCCGGACGGTCGGAAGCGAATATCCACCCGCCTGTGTTAGCGCGGGAAACTCCGTCTTCTGTGGCTGCTTTCGCGACTCACCGCACACCAAGAGATCGACCCTGTTCCGGGCATCTCTCGTTTCTTTGACACCGCCCCATTGGCCTTGCGACCGCCCTGCCGATCGCTTCCCACCGCTCACTCTACAATCATGGCGGAATTTGTCCCCAAAGCTGGGGGCGTCGAGATGGCGACCGAGAACACAGTGCTACAACCAGCCGAGCCGCTACCGATAAACGAATCGGACGGGGGAAAGGAGGAAACGGAACAAAAGGAAACTGTTGATGGACAGACAGGGGAATCGAGCGCTGTGGATGCTTCGGCGGATACATCACCGAAAGGAAAAGACAAGGACGAGCCGCCGCCAGTAGTCGGGAAAGCAAGAGAGGGCGACTCGTTGTCAATAGGGCCGCCCGACCTGCCGCCTCCCGCTCTCGCAGGGGACGACACCGCCGCGCCCGTCTGCGCCATTACCCTGCTTCTCCCGACGGGTGCCAGGCACCCCTACAGGATCGATGAGAAATATCTTTCCAAACGCAATGTCGAGGTGCCAGAGGTGACGGAATCGGGCGGCCGGGATCCCTTCAGCATTTCGATTTATAAGCTGAAGGAGTTGATTCTGCGGGAGTGGCGGGAAGAGTGGGACGGCAAACCGGCCAGCCCGAGCAGCATCCGGCTGATCCATTTCGGAAAACTGTTGGACGACAAGGAGCAATTGAAGAGTCAGTTTTTTCCGTTGCATATGCCATTAACATGAACGCTGACCCCCCGCGTAGAGTACCAGTTTAGCCAGGACAGCCCCAATGTCGTCCACATGTCGGTGCGCCCACCGGAGATGATGGAAGAGGAAGAGACGGCTAAGAGCAAGGCCCACAGCCGGGAGGGGCGGAGCCGAGATGGCGGCAGCGGCTGCTGCGTGATCCTATGAGCCACAACTAATTGTGCTTAATGGTCCGAACTGGAGGGTCGGGATTACTTTTTGGTCAAATTGGGGTTATGTCGTTGACATTCAACTGCATTCAGATGGTGAGGAACGGGGGAGCGATGTTTTACACGAGGGCTTTCCCATTCAATGTACACGGGTGCAGGGGCAGGGTCTGGCGTATTGTGTTGTTTTGATCATTTCTTTGCGTACAAATACATGATGAGGAGGATGGCCCACAGGGTCTTCTAGCGATGCTTTATATATGATTTTGTGGTTTTGGTCTTGCGGGTGGAAGTGTGACAGACGTTCGAACACAAGTGCGAGATGCGCGGGGAGCGTGCAAGAATGGTTGAGAGCGTAGTCATCGACTGCGCTATGGTGATGTTGGTCGACCTAAGCTGGCTAGCCCAGGGAGGTCTGTAGACAGTTCCAGGCAGATTAAACACGGCTCGCAATTTTGTCGCTCATCCCAAGATGCTGCAGACATACCCCACGATCACCAACCCTCGCGTCCCACCCCCTTCCTCATCATCCCTCCAAGTACCTCCAACTCCTTCCCCCCTCACATCTTCAACTTCCTCTCCATCTCCTCATGCACCCCAACCGACGCCCGACCCTCCTCGCCCGTAAACACATCCTCCCACGCGATCGTATCGTCCCGCCCCGCCAGGATATCCTCATGCACGCTCCCCATCCCCCCAACATTACCCCCATTCCCGCCCAGCGCCATCGGCTTCCACTGGCCCTCGCGCGCGATCTTGAGCTCCATCTGCCGCCGCACCGGCTCCGCGACCCCGTACGCCCGCCGCAGCGTCTCCATGCGCAGCGCCTCGCGCGTCGATTCCCACGCCTTGAGGCGGGCTTCGAGAGGGTGCGCCGAGATGGGCTTGTCCGCGCCCGTGGTGAGCGGGGAGGGCCCGACGCCGGCGCGGAGCGTGTCGTGAAGGCCGGGGGCGGACGGGGCGCCGGCGGTGCGGGACGCGATGTGGCTGAAGGTGGTTTCGTGCGTGGTTGCGGGGACGATGCGGAGGGCGTTGGATGACTTGAAAGTTGGGGGGATTGGTTAGCTTGGGGGTTGGTTTGTTTTAGGGGAGGTGACTTGGTTGTCTTTGGAGGGGCGGGCGGGGTGGAGGGAGGGAGGATGCCGCTGGGAGGAGAGGGGTGCTTACCATCTTGGCGGTCGTGGGATGTGTGATTATTTGGATGGTTTGTTTTGGAGTGTGTCGAGGTTTCGCTTGGGCTTATTTTCTTGGTTTTGGTCGATCGTTGGTTTTGTGGCGGATCGGTGGTGGTGGGAGGTGTTTGAAGGTCGAAGCTCAGGCTGGCAGGTCAGGTTGAGCTGTGATGCGCAGGCTCCAGCAGCCTCGCGTTCAGCAGGGATCTGGCTCAGCAACCCGGAACCAGGCGCCAACTGTGGAGTTACGTAAGCCTGTTCTTGCCTGCCGGGTCCTCTCCTCGCTTGCTTCTCCAATTATCCCCGAGGGGCTATATCCGGACCGGCGACGACTTTGAACTCTACTTTTTACAATGAATACTCTGTTGACTCACAATTCATCCTCTTCCAGTGTCATGGCCCCCCGACACTCCGCCAGAGGCCAATTGACAAGATGCGTTTTCCATCTGGCACGCCGCCGATAATCCGCATCGCCAATGGCACCTTCTACCGAAACCAACCGGGCACTGTTTCGGCATTAGCATCCACATCCGCATCCCAAGCACACACTCATCCAAACCCGGCCTTCTTCAAGGACCTAACCTTTGAACTGCCCGCCCAAAGCAAAACCCCCCACAACTGGTGCATCATCGGCCCATCCCTCTCCGGCAAGACCACCCTCCTTCAGGTCCTCCGCGGCCAGCACCTCGCCTTTCCGCCCACCGCCCGGTCCTACCCCTACCTCAGCACCAACCAAGTCCCCTACCACCTCCGGACGCCCGCGCGCGCCATCCAGTATGTCGGGTTCGACTCCCAAGGTGGCGGCGGCGGCCTCGGTCCGGCCACCTCGACGTACCTCTCGGCGCGGTACGAGTCGCGGCGGGAAATCACCGACTTCTCGCTGCGCGACTTCCTGCTCGGCAACATGCAGCTGAATCCGTCGCGGCTGCCCGGCGACGAGGGCATCGACGAGGCGCTGTTCGCGCGCGTGGTCGCCGACTTGAGTCTTGAGAGCCTGCTGGACCTGCCCGTGACGTTCCTGTCGAATGGTCAGGGGCGAAGGGCGCGCATCGCGCGGGCGTTGTTGACTAGTCCGGAGGTGTTGTTGCTGGATGAGCCGTTTATGGGGTTGGACCCGCCGACGGTGGCTGGGTTGAGTCCATTGTTGAGCTCGCTGGCTGAGAAGGCGAGCCCGAGGCTGGTGTTGAGTGCGAGGCTGCAGGATCCTCGTGCCTGAGTGGATTACGCATCTGGTGTATCTGAGGACGGATGCCCAGGTTGGGGTGATGGGTGCCAAGGATACGGTTATGGAGGGGCTGAGGAAATATGTTCGCGGGGTGCGCAATGGTAAACTCGCTGAGGATGACACGCTGCCTGTGCATACTCTCAGTGAGATGGGTAGGACTCTCACGAAAGACGGGATCACTGGCGAAGGCATGGCTGAGGATTTCTCGATAAGCGTCCCGCAAGGCAATGTTGAGGCTGCGGCAAATACTAATTTGGGGGAGCCGCTCGTCGAAATGGATGGCTGCCGAGTCCAGTATGGTAGCAAGGTCGCTCTGGGAAACTGGACCGAAGAGAAAGATGGGAAAACTGTGAGCGGGCTTCATTGGACGGTCCGGAGGGGTGAAAGATGGGGTGTGTTTGGGCCGAACGGTTCCGGCAAGACGACCATTGTTTCGCTGCTCTGTTCCGACCACCCCCAGACATACTCCCTCCCGATCAAGCTGTTTGGTCGCAGCAGGCTGCCCGAGCCCGGTTCCGGCCAGCGGCCGCTGACTTTTTGGGATATTCAGTCTCGCGTGGGCCACTCCAGCCCCGAGATTCATCAGCACATGCCGCGCAACCTGACGGTCCGTCAAGTGCTCGAGAGTGCATGGGCCGACACCTTCCGCAGCAAGCCGGCCCTCGACGCGATCGCCACAGAGCAGGTCGAAGCCACGCTGAGATGGTTTGAGCATGAACTTAATCCTGCCTTCCAGAAACACCCGCAGTTGGCGACTGACGATGGCACTGCCGTGAACTCGATTGCCTGGGCCAGGGAGTACATGTTCGGCGAGCTGTCGTTCAGCGCCCAGCGTATCCTGCTCTTCCTGCGGGCCATCATCAAGCACCCCGACGTCGTGGTGCTTGATGAGGCATTCGGCGGCATGGACGACGCGGTGCGAGACAAGTGCATGCTTTTCCTTGCCTACGGCGAGGAGAAGATGTACTCGTTGGGGCCGAAACAAGAGAACGGGTCCCTGGCGGGAGCTACCGTAGTGGATAGCCCTGCGTCAAGGGCCGGCAGTGTAAAGGTAACGGGTCTCTCGGACCAGCAGGCGCTTATTTGTATCAGCCATGTCAAGGAGGAGGTTCCCGACTGCGTCAGGGAATGGCTTTGTCTGCCTGAAGCCAACACGGGGTTGCCGGCGAGGTTCGGGCGTTTGAATGGCCCGTTGAGGACCAGCTCGCGGCGATGGACCGAGATCTGGGGAGTTGGGCAGGGGGCTTAAGTCAAGGTATCCATGGCCTATCAATGATAGTGAATGATTGATGCCTGCCCAGTTCCAGACATCTACCGTAGGAAGTGCTGTAGCAACAATGTCAGCCGTCCGTAAATCGGTGGAAACCAAGAAAAGAGGCACCGGGCGGATGGCAGCTCTCCGGCAACTGAGTCTGGCCGCTTGAGGACATTCGGGCTGAGCACCAAATTGAGGAACAGGATCCCTTTTTTTGTGAAAAGAACTTGAAGCAGTGCTAGGAGCTTGGTAAGGCAACCAAAGAACAAGAGTCATCCTTTGGTGTTGCAGAGCGGAGATGCAGAGAGGGTGATAATGATCCAGGTGAGTGAGGATGGCAGAGCCCAGCAATTCAAGATTCGGGCTCTCGGGGGCGCACACACCTTGGGTGACATTTAAATCAAGATAGGTAACGAACCAATCAGCCAAGCCGCACACGTTCTCTTCTACAGAGCCTTTGACAAATGACTTGAAATCCACGAACCATCAACCAACCAACCCAACTTGAACCAGATGATCTAACGCCACGTCCGGCCCATAAGATGGAGAGCGGGATTTACATCCTTGGATTGGGAAACCTGGGCAAATATGTTGCTTTCGCCCTCAGACGCAACCAGCAAACCACCGTCACAGCCCCCCGCCAGGTTTCGCCCGTGACGCTCCTCTTTCATCGAAAAGGTCTTCTCGAGGATTGGGAGAGTGAAGACCGATCCATTCGATACTACACGCCAGAGTGTTTGAAAAGCCAACCGCCTGTCGAAAAATCACGAGCCAGTGGCTTTCGTGTCGAGTTACTCAATGCGACCGCCGAAAAGCATGACATCGAAAACCATACCCCCGCAATCATTGACGACAAGTCCCCGATCAGACATCTCATTGTGACGACCAAGACCTATGCAACAACCGCCGCTCTTGCCCCGATCAAGGACCGGCTAAACAAAGACTCGCATATACTGTTTCTTCAGAACGGCATAGGTATGTGTGATGTAAGAGCCGGAAAGGCTGTTGAGTGTTGATCATGGCTCCGTATAATTACTTGGTCTGACCGGTACCCAGGTGTCACTGATGAGGTCTCTCATAAGCTTTTTCCCGATCCGGGGAACCGGCCCACGTACTGGGCTGGCATCTGCAGCGCCGGTGTTTACAGCATGTCTCCATTCTCCATTATCCATGCCGGCCGTGGACCCTTGATGATGGGTGTTGTTGGCACGCAGTCTGCGGGAGGCGCCCCGCCCACAGCCGAGGCTCACATGGCCTCCCGACTCTCGAATTCTAGGTTGCTCCAGACTAGTTTACTCTCACCAGAGCAGATCGTACACGCTCAGCTGAAGAAGCTTGTCATCAACGCAATCATTAACCCTTTAACGGCCTGCTTCAACTGCAAGAACGGGCAAGTCTTCGAAAGTGATGAGAGACAGGCTCTTTATCGCCTTCTTCTTCAAGAGGCCGGTACCATTATCAGGGAGATGCTTCCTAATTCAGACAATCTCCATGAAACAGCCTTCTCGGATCGAGCCTTGAGCGCGCTGGTCGAGGAGGTCGCCGAGAAAACTGCCAACAACACAAGCTCAATGTTGCAGGATGTACAGGCTGGGAGGCGGACCGAAATAGATTATATTAACGGCTATCTGGTTTTGCAAGGGAGGAGGCTAGGCTTGCCAACCACACATCATCAAGTCGTTTACAACAGGATCAAAACACTGGAGGCGGGCCACGTGGATTGAACCGCCCATTTGACAATGGTTTAATTAGCTCAAAACACCATTTTAGGATTTGAGACAGGTGGACGGCCGCGCACCGAACCAAATGTCGCTCGTATCGAGAGTGCTCTGGGAAGTGGACCGTCTTTGTCTCAGTTATGCGCCATAGGACTGTTTTTGAGCTAGAATAGGCATCTGGCTGTATATTAGTTTTGAACTCTTCCCCGTTCCTTTCTAGGCCAGGGCAGGGTGAGACGCACCGGATCATACCAGTGGCAGAATGCAGGAAATAGACCTGTGGTTGGAAAGCACATGGCAGGCGGGCCCCAGACATTGACGGCTAGCTAAGGTAGTTAGGTAGTTATCTTTGCCAGCAGCTGGCTAAACTTGCCAATTCCAACATCGCCCAATCTTCCCTTCAGTCAGTCAATATGTTTTAACTGTCAAGCCTCTTAAGGGCTATCATTTCACAGCTTCCCGGGCTATGCGCAAGACCAAGGACTCCTACGGTTCCGTAATCGCGAGCTAACCCATTCTCGAAAGCCGAGGCCGAGTTTCCCTCTCGGTTCCGAGAGCACGGCTGACATCTGACAGTTCTTACGTTATACGAACCTTTTGTAAATCTTTACAACGTCGTCATTGCTTGCTTCGCCCTCTAACTGACTTGATAGATGCCACAGCTCGCATAATTTGTTGGCATCGGGTAGCAGCAAACTACTGATCGCCTGTACGATCTGAGGGCTCGTGTCTGAAGGTCAGCACTGAGGCAGAGGAGGTGGAGGCTATTTACAGGGTCATCAAAGCGGTGGCCGCACACGATGGGAAGATACTGGACGTGTAGCGCGTGAAGGATGTGACAGACGCTCAAGTGTCATGGGGGCCAAATTTTCGTTGTCGTTCATACGGTAGGCCTCTCCCCTTCACGTTTTACTGTATTGCCCGCCCCGGGACTCTGAGTCTTGGGCCTCAAACCCACCTACTGACCAGCTTGGGGTTATCTCGTCTCAGGTTTGCGTTCTCTGTCTTGGGGACGGGCTACCGAGGCCAGTCCATCTCTACGTCGCCCACGTGCAAGCTCGCTCTCTTAACAAGTTAGACTTCCCGAGCCAAGAACCAGCAGCTGAGTTGGTCCTCAACATCGACCATTGGGGCATTGCGGCTAGGCCTTTTGAGACGTTGCCACATCGGCTCTGCCGGGTGCTGAGACTGTGTCAAGACCAAGAGGCAGATGCTGGGAACCTTGGAGAGCCATGGGTGGGGGCAACGAGAAAGCGGAAACGGGGTGACACCTTGGACAAGCACGGATCTACTCTTGAAGAGAAAATAGGTGTAGTCTTCCCCATCCCTCTTCCCCGTTCTCCTCCCAAACGCCCACCCAGGAGGGCATTTCTTGATCCCGAGCCTAGGCAACGGCCAAATGGGAACGTTGTAGAGATTATTGCTGAGGTGTTCCCGTACTTGTTCTGCAAGCCCCCAAGCACGAGAGGAACAGGTAGGAGTAGCCTGGAGGAGTAGCTTGGGGGTGTAACCTCGGAGAACAATCTCGAAAGCATGGAACTTGTAGTGCAATAGTGCAATAGGGGCTGGCGTGATGGCGTCGTGATGAGGCCGTTGGTCGGGAGACACTCGGGGGTCGGGCTTGGCCGAGGGTCACTAAGGCCTACTGGAGTTGAGATCTTATCAAGGTGGGTACGGGACCGCACGGTAAGGATAAATGCGCGGAAACAAGAACTAGCGCCTGCCGTCACCCATTCGAGGGATCAGACCATCTCCCCTAAAGCGGCGGCGGCCCGGAGCCGGCCCAGCCTGAGACTTGACATTGCCAAAACGGCAATCCTGTCCCCTCCCCCGCCACAGCCATTTCGGGCTCCAATGATTTTTGAGAGTATGAGTTCCGAGGTTCTACACACGTGCAAGTATTCGGGTTCCACCAGCGGGTGGGCATTCGTAGACGGGCACGCTGAGACATACGTGGCATTCGAAACTGATGTGGTGGAATATAAGGTGCAGGCGGGGAAGTGTTTATAGACCAGCTCTTATAGATCCTACCAAATAGGTGGGCAATCCGAGTTCGAACGAAACGGAGGTGGGCGAGGGCGCCGGTAGGAACGACGTTCCGGAGAAACTGGGTGGCGACGAAACGCTGGTTGGGGTAGTCGTATTGGGCATTTGATTCGTGCAGCAGCGCATCATGTGCATATACTTGTTCAGATAAGCCCCATACCCACCATGGCGGTTCCCGGGTAGGAGGTCGTGATAGGGGTGGTGAAAGTTGACGAATGGATGGATGGATGGAATTTATTTCGCCCGGAGGCACTGGGCCTATAGGGCCTTAGCACGCTAACTACATCCGGATCAAATCGGTTTGCCTTTAACTCGTACAAGCCCCCTACTTCTTCCCCTCTTTTCTCGCTGCACCCATTTACCTCTTGCCTTGGTTGTTGTTAGCAGATCAACTTGGAGGGCTACTTTCTCCAAGTGTTCAGCGTCCTATCTTCAGCAGCTAAAGCGGGACCTGCTGGTTAAAGGCTCGTGGTTGAGGCTCGTGGTGTTGAGTGTCGGCTTCTTCTACTGTGACTGGTCTAGACTCTCCTCCTCATTCAAGCTCCAGCCTTCCTGTTGCCATTGCGTATTTGATCGTCGCCCTGACTGCCTTCATATCTGGTGACCAATGCCTTGTATCTGATGGCGCTTTCCCTCCCAGATAGAACGAGAGGCTTCCTCGTCTTGCCACTGTGCATTGCAGCATGTCTTCCCTCAGAGCTGTCCATCTCACGCAGAAAGTTGACGAAACAGTGTCACGAATATGCCAACAGGCGGGACCCCGGGGCGCGGGATCCCGGGCCAGTCATTTAAACGAGCCAATCACAGGGTGCTCTCCAGAGCACCCGAGAGCCAAGAAGGGCGACCAGTCAGAAGCCGCTCTCAAGGGGCTCTCGAGAGCCACCGAGAGCCATGAGCTCTAGTAAGCTCTCAAGGGCTGTCTAGAGCTCAGGAATCAGATAGCAGTATATAGTCACTCGTTCTGGAGAGCTCTGGGAGTTCTCCAGTTAGCAATCACAACTACAGTTCGCTACAAGCTCGAGAGCCTACTGTTGAGACAAGTCTTTGTTGTGCACCCTTTGGCTGCACCGAACCTAAGCACCCTTTGCAAGATTACCTTCGACCGAAGCTGAACCCTGACAGGACGGGGTCCTGGAGTAGGTTCGTCACACTTAGGTATCCTTAAATAGACCCATCACCAAGACCCACACGTGCACTTGCTTGAATCCGTCAAGCCTAGGTACTTACCTAGGCACTTAGGTGGCTACATGTACCCACCTAAGGTACCAAGGTAGGTTAATATTGCAAGGTTTGTTAGTAGGAGGTCAAGCTCGGTGACCCTACAAAGGCCCTTCAGAGACTCCAAGACGCATCCCCGGCCGTCGCCCCTATGTTCAAACGAGCTGGACCTTTTCCTCCTCACCAGGCTGGTCGAAATGGCCAACTGATCGAGCTAGAAAAATATCTCCGGGTACGAGCCCGCCGTATTCAGATACCTCTCAGGAGAAGCGGGAAATAAGCTAGTTCCACAGCACCCCTAACGCTCTTCCTAGGCTACTTATCCTAGGCTGCGGCCGTCAGCGCATCATACTCAGCCCTCTAGACATGCATAATCAACCACATCGACCGCTCCGCCGCCGACGCGGACGCATCATCGCGCGGCGGGGCCCCAGCAGATCCGGATCAAGCAAGGCCTACTTCCACATGATCCGCATGCTGCGCAACAACGGGCGGCACGACGAGATCGTCCGGCGGTGCGAGGAGCTCATCCAAGGGTTGTGCGATCACCATGGACGGCGCCCGCTCCTTTTCCGGCCAATCGAGCCCGGTATCACTTGACCTCGCCGTGAGCCACTGCGAAGAGAGCAACCTGCCGGCCGCTAAAGCCGCGTACCGACACGCGCGCAAATAACTGGGCACGAGAGACAGTCCCTGTGGTGGCTGGGTGTTTGGCCGTGTTTGCGTCGAGCGAGCGTGCGCAGATGCTGGAGTAGGGGGGGGGATATGGATAAGGAGGGTGAGTTTTATGAGGAGACGCTGTTGAACTTTGTTCGGTTTCAAATCGGGCGACGAAAGCTCGGGGGCGTCGTTGATGCTCAAGGACTTGATCGAGTTTCACGAGCGCTTTCAAAACTAGGAACAACTAACGGATCGTGAAAGGGAGGATGTTGTGTTTTGGGTGGTCTGGGGATGGCATTTTGGAAAGTAGCTTAATTAGGTAACCTACTCAATAAGTAATGGTTTCTGCGAGCTTGGGAAGCACAAGGGCAGGGCCGACGTTGAGTAACCTGAGTACTTGTACGTGGTTACTTCTTTCGTTCAATTTCTGCCGCCGGCGACCGACGCCATATGAGAATAACCAACTCACAAAGGGCGGGGTTCCTTTGTCTCGGGTTTGGAAGAGAACAATGTGGGCCAGGGTTGAATCGAACACTCGGGCCAGACAATAGTTCAGCAAGTTTCTGCACAAACCACTGGTCAGGGGAACTGGCGTCCAAGTGACTCACCGACGAGAGAAACTACGGGTGTACTTGAGCGAAGCGGCATTTATTCGCTGGCCTTAGGCGACCATAAGGTCGCTAACGATGCTATCTGTATCCCGACAGTGTATGTACAGGTGTTATCGCAATGGCGAACCCACGGGCATACCCGTGGGGAGCTTGCCATGAGCATAATGGAACCCATTCCGTCCTAAACCATCGCAGCCCATAAACCAGAAACCCCGGCATGCATCGTGGTGATATGTACAAGGAGATAAGAGACCCATCCTGTTCAAACGAGACTCTCCAGGACTCCATGCATGTTATGATATGTTGTTTCGACGTCAATCAATCTGATGGACCTTCACTTAGGTGTGCTTGATGCCCAACCTGTCGAGGTTCCTCTTGATGCTCATGTCTGTCTTCTTGGCCGCCTTCTCCAAGGGAAGACGGTGTTCGATCCTCTTGACGGTCCGCTCGACGGGCGGTGAGATTCTCTGGATACCCCTCTCTACGGGGTTCCTGAAGAAGGTGATGTTGCGCTCCCAGCGGGGAGCCCACTTGACTGTCTGCCGCGAGAGGCGCTCCTCAGCACCGGGTGCCATCAGGTAGAAGGGGGCGAAGCCAGTGACGCCAGCAGCACCCATGCAGAAGACCTCAGTCCTGGTGGTAGCGGGAATGCGGACGGGCATATTGGCGGTAGAGTGGAGATTGGTTTGTTCTTGTTGTTACTTGGTGGGCAGCTGAGTTGAACAGTCGATGTCAGTAGGTGAACTGACGAGAGAACGAAGGGGATGGGTGGCAAGACAGCATCGAAGATCAGGTGGCAGCGTGCGGGGTCTTGCCAACACAGCAAGCTTGGACCAAGGGAAGCCAGGTTGGTAAAACAATAACAAAGTGATGCTTACCTGAGGGAAGGAGAGATGCTTTATCGACTCGATATCCTGAAGCTGAGAGGAGTTGATCTCAAAAGGTCGAATTGATGAATTGTAAAGCGTGTGTAGTGTTTACAGTTAACAATGGTAACAACTGTGACGTATTGGTATTGGGAAGTTGTTGTCGCACAAAGAGGAGAAGCTGGAGAAGGAGGGCACACTTGCCCCTTTATTCCTGATGGGCATGAGCGACCAACACAGATGGGCTGGGAGACGACGCCTCTGCCCAGCTGCCCGACAGCCGCTTGCCGCTTTGGAGGACCAGAAACAATGTGCTTTTGCAAGGGGGTTCCTTCCCCAAAGAGGCCTGGAACATGCCATAGCGGCCAGGTTCGGAGCGGGGTAACCGTCGCCGTATTAGCCAGCGCCAATCATGGTGTGGTATGGACGTCACTCTGCAGTCGCGCAGCTCCTGATTGCCAGTGAGCATGGTCCTCTGCCTGACTCAAATAGGTTGGCATGGCGCCATGTGCACATCTGGCAGGGGAGAGAGGAGATGATTGTCGCATCTGTCCCCTACTTCAATCGACTCGTGTCCGCTCGCACATCGGCGACCCAAACTTCCCATCCCACAAGACGAGACGAGACGAAAACAGAATACAAACCGAGCTCGAACTTCGAAGTTGATACTCATATCAATCCGGTGTTTGCTTCATGACAGCGCGTTAGCGTGGAGGGCAGGGGTTGGTGGACCCGGGCCGCGTTAAAGCTCCACATTCCCCGGACTCCACCCCCGCGATGGAGTGGAGCTGGTGGAGTGAGGAATCACCAAAGCGCCCCTTCTGTTGGCACGTCGGGCATTTGCTCGTGTGGACACTGGAGTCTAAAGCTTAAATCGCGGAGACTAGTTGGTAATCACCGGATTTTGTACGATCAAAAGCTAATGCTCGGGACTTGACCCAGTTCATTTTGGACTCGGTTCAGAGGAGACACAGCTGATTCAACCCGACGCGCGCGGGCTTCGGTATGAGCAGGCGGCAACAGACAGGGTCCAACAGAAGGTCACGCCCCCAGGGCCAAAGCTCCCGACCTCGCCCCAAAGCCCTGCCCTCGCCGCCTTAGCTCGGGCCGGGGAAATACGTGTACAAATCGCAGCGGATGTCTTGGAACTGGGAAATCCAGATAAAAACAGGATAATCATTGGCTTGGGTGTCGGAGGAAGCTGAACGTCGACGGCTCGATCGTCCATCGCCCAGCGCCACCATGCTGCAGCTGCCTGAGCCATGGTCTCGTGAGAGTCTCCTCATCCGGGGAAGGGCCCACATCAAGGGGAGATCTCAAACGGGGCTTCGGCTTGGCAGCAACCTGATTTCCAACCCGAATTGACAAGAACGAAGCTGGGCCGTGAGCCCGCGAGAATTGAAAATTTCGACAATCAGTTCTTCAGACGAAAACAAAATTATGGGAAGAGAATTCATCGACCAAGCCCAAGTCTTCGCGTTTTTGGCGTCGCATTGTGTTCAGTCGTTTCCAGTCTTGGGCTGAAACCATGAGATTTGTGCAGCATTTGACCCGTTGCTCTGTGCTTGGTATGCATCGGACAATGTCGTTGAGGTTGAGATTTTACTACTTCCACGTCACAGTGGGACTTGGGCTTGGATGGTGCTGTGTCCGGAAGGTCTACGAAATAAAGCACCTTCGTGTTGTTGATGTTGATGTGAATGGTGGGGCTTGTGGGACGCCCATTGCCAAATGCCATGTGAAGACAGTCAGCTCCAACCCTAACCCTTCTTAGTCTCTGTGTGTGCGATAAAGATGCGATAAGCGTGGGGTTCTTCTCCACTTTTATTCCGCCCAGCTGCAAAGGCGGTCAATTTTTTTTCGGCGGACATCGAGGCCTGCGTCGACCCTAGTTGAGGTTGTGAGTTTGACCATAGCCCCTCGGCAGCCCTCCATCACGACCGCCGGTTCCGAGTCTCAAGATGCGTGTCGACAATTGTTTCTTTTGCGGGCGGCCCGCGTGGCCCAGCAAGGGCATCACTTTTAACAGGAATGACGGTTCGTCTCCCAATCCCGCTCGGCCTCAATTCCACATTTCAACCCCAAGGCAGACAGATGTTGACTGCTCCTCTTTCTCTCAGGCAAATCCTTCCGGTTCTGCCGCTCCAAGTGCCACAAGAACTTCAAGATGAAGCGCAACCCCCGCAAGCTCAAGTGGACCAAGGCATACCGCAAGAACGCGGGTAAGGAGATGGTGGTGGACAGCACGCTGCAGTTCGCGGCGCGGCGCAACGTGCCCGTGCGGTACGACCGCGAGCTCTTCGCCAAGACGCTCAAGGCCATGGAGCGCATCAGCGAGATCCGGTCGCGGCGCGAGCGCATCTTCTACAAGAAGCGCATGGCCGGCAAGCGCGCCCGCGAGGTCGCCGCCGCCCGCAAGCTCGTCGCCGACAACGAGCACCTGCTGCCCCGCCTGCGCGGCAGCGAGAAGAAGCGCCTGGCCGAGCTGGCCGCCGAGCAGGGCGTCGACGTCGAGGACCTCGAGCGCGAGGAGCTGGCCACCCTGCGCAGCAGCAAGAAGACCAAGGCCTTTGGCGGCGAGACGCGCAGGCTCCGCGTGCGCACCGACGGCGGGGTCGAGGAGATCACCGAGGCGATGGCTGGGCATATGCACGAGGGCATGGAGGACGACGACGAGGACGACGAGGACGACGATATGGATACCGATTAAGGGGGTTATTGCAAACGATACCCGCCGCGCCCTTCAGGATCCGTCCCGGGTTTTGCTGCTGTGGATTCAGACGCCAACGACGCCACATACCTTGCCGTCGGCGCATATCTCGTAGCATCCAGGATGGGAATGATGGCAAAGCAACACCCAGGGCCACATCCGGGCTTAAGGGAGCCAGGAGTCTCATATCATCCAGCATCAGCGCTAGCTTCGTGGGACGCAAGTCCTCGGCCTCTCGAGGCACTCATAGACACCATCGGTTGGGAAACTGGCGAATTGGCGTTAATTGGAGGGAAAGTTGCCACACATAATATGATGGCCTGTGATTAGATAGGCACCCTGACACGCTTGGGCCCTGAAATTGAGGGATGACAAAATACATGGGTTGGTTAGATCGAGGTCGCAGACTGAGTTGAGATTAGCCAAATCAGCATGCTCTCTCCCTGCCCCTGCCTAGTGACCCAAGATTGCGCCGCCCTCAAGCCACACAACGCCATGAAACGGACGCAGCTCCGAACGCAAAGGTCATGAAGTACATATTATTAGATTGATTCATGTAACGCTGATGCAGACGCACCCACCACCGCCCACCCCGCCGAATCCTCCTCCTTGCTGGCCACAGAAGGGTAATCACGGTGGACATGGATATCTCCGCCCTTACCTCCTTCCCGTCCCATCCCCCCACCCCTACGCCCTTCACCTCACACATCCCACCCGCCCCATCTAACAAGCGCACCCCTCCTGCTGGGCCGGTGCGGCGGGGGTCTTGACGTCGATCATCTGGTTGGCGGCCTGGGCGACGGCGTCGGCGCCCTCCATGCCGGGGAGGGCCTGGGCTATCCTCTTGAAGAGGGTCTTGACGTTGTGGCCCAGCTTGGCGCTCGTCTCGACGAACATGAGGTTGTTGCGCTTGGCCTCGTCCTCGCCCTGCTGCGTCGTCACCTCGCGCTTGTCGTTGAGGTCCGTCTTGTTGCCCACCAACACGATGATCACGTCGTTGCCCCGCTCTGCTCGCACGTCGTCGATCCATTTTCGCGTGTTCTGGAAGCTTTTTGCGTCTGGGACGGGGTGTTAGTATGTATGCAGGTGCGCTGGTTGTTTGTTGTTGAGGTCTTGGGGGAGTGAGGGTTGTTTGTTGGCGCTCTCACTCACTTGAGATGTCGTACACTACCACCGCCACGCTCGAGTCCCGGATGTAGGATGGGATCAAGCTCCTGAATCGCTCTTGCCCGGCTGTGTCCCAGAGCTGTAATCGCACTGTCCTGTCTTCGAGGTACATGGTCTGTCGGGCCTAGTCAGCGTGTGCCGCATGTGCTGTCTCCTCCGCTGGGCGGGTCGGGGCTTGCCTTGGAGAGGAAATCGATGCCGATGGTGGCTTGGTACATGTTATCGAACGAGTCATACATGAACCGTGTGATGAGCGACGTCTTGCCAACTGTTTTCCCGGGTATGTTTAGCGAAGACTGTCTCTTGTTGTTGCATAGTCTCTAATCTCGAGGATGGGATCGCATACCGCTCTGTTCCCCTAAGAAGACGAGCCTAGCGCGGTGTTAATAAATCTGCCCCGTTTCCAGTTTACAAGGTACCATTACTTGAACTTCTTCAGCGGGTTGTTATAGGACCCGCCAGCTCCTGCTTGCGCCATGATGGTGGACTGAAGTAGGGGGCAAACGGTTGGGTGTCGGTCTCAGGGATGCGCAAGAGGAGGGGTTCCGCGGCGGCGATGGCGTCGAAACGATAGGGTTTGGTCGCCTGGGGGTTTGTATGGTTTGCCTAAGGCGAGAATAAGTCTATTGAGGCCAGGTTCCCTTCAGCAGTAGCTGGCGCAAAGTATTCTCCAAGTGGGCGGTCCCTTTGTGACGGAAACCGATGGCTATTGGTGTTGGCACCTGGCAGCAATCGGCGCTGGTCTCGAGTGCACTGGAAAGGGATGCGTTGCTAGCGCGTTGCAGCCCCTGGCGGCCGCCGTGTCTGCCAGCTGTCAGTGAGCGAGGCCTGGCCGCGTGGGCTCGCCTGTGGGCCCACCGGCCACCGCAACCTTATCCTTATCTTATCGGCCCCTGGCCGCTGGAAATTTTGAGAGCGACCCCACTGTTCGTTGCGCATGGAAGCGCCGATTCAGATGCAAGGGAAACACTGGAAAATACCTGACTAGGAACAACCAGGAAAGCGGCAGCTTCGGTATTCTACACCTTTCACAATGCCAGTCTTAAAGCCCCTTTCGGGCAACCCCGACGCCCCTCAACAGTACAAGCAACCCTCCAGGAAAGGCAAGAAGGCGTGGCGCAAAAATGTCGACATTTCCGAGGTTCAACAGGGTCTCGAGGAGCTCACCGGCCAGATCATCAAGGGGTACGTTGTCTGGCAGTGTGGAATATTGCAAAGGGTTGGACTGACAATTCTGCAGGGGAGTCATCGCCGAGAAAGACTCCGCGGAGCTCTTTACCATTGATGTGGAGGGCGATGCGGAACTCCCGAAACGGTTTTCCAAGCACGTCAAGAAGGGGTTAAAAGCCGACGAAATCATTGCTCAGCGGTCGGCGGTAGCGGCGGTGCCAATGCGCAAAAGAGCTGGCGACAAGACCACCGACGGCATTCTCCCCGTTAAGAGGCAACGGACCACCTATATCACACACAAGGAGCTCACGAGGATAAAGAAGGTCGCCGACGGGCACCACGAGTCCACAGTCGCGGTTGTGGACGCCGAGTACGACGTTTGGGCGGACCCGAAGGAGGAGCCGGTGACCGAGGACCAAAAATTCCTCCCCAAGACGGAGAAGAAGAAGAAGGCCACGACGCTAGACGAGAAGCCTATCTCGCTCGCTGCCAACGGAAAGGCGATCTCCTGCCCGTACCGAAGCCGAGAGTTGGCCACAGCTACAACTCCGCCTTCAGCGACTACCAGGAGCGGCTGATCGAGGAGAGCGAGAAGGCAGTAGAGGCAGAGCGGAAACGGCTTGAGGCGGTCGAGGCCGAGCGCATCAAAATGGAGGCGGCCGCACGGTCAGCAGCTGAGGCGGAGGCGGCCGAGGCGCGGGCCGATCTTTCGGAGTGGGAGGATGACTCGGCTTGGGAAGGGTTCGAGAGTGCGGGCGAAGAGATGAGCGTCAAGACGAAGCGGCCACGGCGCAAGACGCAGGCCGAGAGGAACAAGATCAAGCGTCGCAAGGAGGAGGAGCGGAAAGCGAAACACGAGGCGGCCATGAAGCGCAGGAGGGCTCAGGAAGAGCGCATCAAGCAGATTGCGCTCGAGGTGGCTGAGAAGGAGCGTCAGATGGAGCTGGAGAAGGTCGAGATGAGCGATGGCAGCGACGATGACGGCAACGAGATCGAGCTGCGGCGGAGGCAACTGGGCAAGCTCAAGCTCCCGGAGAAGGATTTGGAGTTGGTGCTGCCGGACGAGTTGCAAGATTCCCTGCGGCTACTCAAGCCCGAGGGCAACCTGCTGAAAGACCGGTACCGCAGCATGCTAGTCCGGGGAAAGATGGAGGCGCGGAGGAAGATTCCGTTCAAGAAGCAGGCGAGGTCCAAGATCACCGAGAAGTGGACATACAAGGACTTCTCATTGTGATGGGGCTGGCCGGAGCAAGACAATACAAATACATCTTCCGGTGGCTACTATTGTAGCTACCGACACTTCTCTGTTACATTTCTCCAAACTTCACATTTAACACGCATGATTCACTTGCTTGAAATATCATAGTCCAGCTCCCTACCCACCCCGCTACCCACGCCCTACCTTTCCACCCAGCTAGCCCCCCAAACCTCACCGATACTCCCCCGTAACCTCCTCACAAAACTCCCAAAACTCCCTCGCCTTCCCACTCCCACCCCCATCCCCCACCAACCTCCCCGCATCCACCAAATCCTGCCTCACCACCGTCGCCACCCTACCCCACGGCACCACATAACAGAACCCCTTCCCCTGACCCCCCGCTCCCGCCCCCGCTACCTCCCCTGCCGCTGCCCCAGCTGTCCCAACCGCCGCCGCCTCCGCCACCTCCCCCGCCAGCCCCGCATACAACTGCGTCAGCGCCGCCAGCCGCGCCGCATGCAGCAGCGGCCACGCCAGGTACCCCGTCCACGGCGTGTGTCGGAAGAGTGCGGTCGAGGCCGCGCCCGGGTTGGTGGCGATGCTGAGTACCGGCACGGCACCAACAACACCAGCGGCATTGCTACCAGTGGGGGTGGGAGTGGCAGTGGTAGTGGTGACCCGCTCCTGCTGCTGGCGCGCGAGCTCGGCGGCCAGCAGGTAGTTGCCCGTCTTGGAGTTGGTGTAGCAGCGCGCGGTGTCGGCGGGCGGGGTGCGGAGTTCCGGGGTGGGGAGCACGATGCCGCGCGGGGCGGCGAGTTCAATCATTTGGCTGGCGGTCCAGATTACGCGGACGGTGGTGGGAGTTTGGGTGGTGGTGGCGGCTGTGGCTTCAAGGAGGGGGAGGAGCAGCTGGGTGAGGAGGAAGGGGCCGAGGCAGTTTGTGGCGAGTTGCAGTTCGATGCGCTGCTTGGAGAGGCTGCCGAGGGGCGGTTGGGAGACGCCTGCGTTGTTGAAGAGGACGTGGAGAGTGGATTCTTGGGATTGGAAGGCGGCGACGGCGGTTTTGATGGTGGTCAGGTCGGAGAGGTCGAGGTGGAGGAAGATGAGGGCGGCACTGGCGGAGGGAGAGGGCACGGCGGCCTGGATGGTTTGTATGGCGCGTTGGGCGTCCTCTTCCGAACGGCCAGCGATATAGACACGACCGCCTTTTTGGTACAGCATCTTGGACAGCTCCAGGCCGATCCCCGAGGCGCCGCCCGTCACTATGAAGACCTTGCCATCTTGCGGAGGGACATTGGCCTCGGTGAAGGTGGGCTTTGGCGGGAAGAATTGGGCGAGCTGGGATCTGAACATGCTGGCAGGGGGTGGAATGATGGGGATGTGTGTCGGGTATGGCTAAAGTTGTCGCTGGCAGCCTGGGGGCGGGGTGAGTTTAAATAAACACAGATGATCGGAGGAGGTGTTGCAAGCACAACCCAGGATAGGTCGAGACATGCTTTTAGCGCCCTGCAAGACAAAGTGAACGTTGTTTCTGTTGCCTGGCCCCCAACCTTTGGGCACGCGGAGTGATTTGGTTCCCTTCTTCCGTTTTGGGGGCCAAATTTATCATTACTTCTCACGAGCCACCCTAGCAAGTTCTCTGGTCGTGTAACAAGGTGATATCCCAAAGGTGGGAGGAACTAGAAAGACTTTGTGTGAACAACTTAATATGAAATGACCAGTACATGTATTTGCAGCAGCAACGAGCGTATTGGGCATGCATTCATTGGGGCTCCAAGCCCATGCAACCACTCAACCAATCCACACAGGAGGGCCCGGGGGCTTGTATTCCATCAGCTTCATGTCCTCAATCTTGACTGTTCCGGCCCCTATATCCTGATTCGGGGGCACGAGAAGACCTGGCAACCAAGGTGTCAGTAAAATAACCTGAGATGTAGGAAGTGGCGATCTGCTTGTTTACCTGGGTCGTCGTCTTGGTATGTGCCGGGAAACCTCGCAAACTCTGTCGGAGTGCCGCCGCCGGGGCCAATGATGTTGACAAAGGCGCAGTTGACGTAGAACTGGATGTATCTGAGATCCCCCGTGGGCATGAAATTCTCGATACGCATCAGGTATTTGCCGGGCGGTGTGGTCTTAGGGACGGTGAAGTTGAACTACATAGATACCGAATTAGATTCGTTCGGTTAATATAATTCGCTAGCTCACAAGTTTAAAAGGGGGTGAGGGCGGCGTACGTCGGACACTTTCGGCCAAATCGACCAGTGCTGGTCGTCCAAGGCACCTGCGTAGGCAATCTTGAACCAGTCGCCATCACCTCTGTAGCTCTGGAGGTCGTCGTTTGGAGCACGCGAGAGGTAGATCTGACCGGGCCCCGGATGCCAAAAGTTTGGGTATATACCCTTCTCCGGGTTTCTGGTCCCCCTTCCGTCGGTTGACACCCGGAAGCCAACCTCGGACCCGGCGAGCACGTCGGCCGTCTCCGTCTTGGGGGCTGAGTCAAACGCCAACCTGCCGCAGGTGATGTTCGGGTCGCTGGTCCCGACGATGGGTTCGAGCTTGTAGCTTTGGGCGCCGGGGGGGTATGTTCCGGGTTCGAAATAGAACGAGGAAGCTACATCACTGTGGGCCATCAATAAGGAACCTCGTTATGGACGGACTGTCTGGTAACCTACAGAACATATTTCCACTCAGGCGACTCGGTGCCGTTGATAAGAAGCATCCCCGCAACATCTAAGGGTGTTTAGCATCTAGCTAGGTAGTTGTTTTACTTGATGTCATTCGATGGAAGTAACTCACTGTGCCCTAAAGCGCCCGGACTAAGCAATGTGCCTAGGAACGCAGCCCGAGATATTTTCATCTTGACACCGGGTGATGAGCGTAGGTAGGTAGTTTGGCGTTATGATTGGGGCTGCGAGAGAAAAGTCAGCGAGAGAAAAGTCAACGAGAGAAAGTCAGGTAACGCTACCGAAGCACCAAGGTACCACGATGGGTACCGCCAGGCAGGAGCTGAAGAGCAATGTGACCCCCAGGACGTCTTCAGGTTAACTCCGTTGTCAGGAAGGGACAGCTTTATAGACACCAGGGCCTGAGCTAGGTAATATCGAAGTAATTTAACATCGGCACGTAGAGCGGGGAAAACTTGACACCACACATGGGCGGTAGTCCATGCGTCCTGCACATTTAATGGCCTAATTAACTTAGACAAGTTGCATGCGACGTTGAGGGTACCGTACCGCTAAACAATTACAGATCAACTCCCAAACACCCCAAATGTTTGGAAGAGAGCCACGTGTAAACTACTTGGCTTACACCACTAGCAAGGCTAAGGTTTCGTATGGATTTGGCCGACAGCACGAGTTTGTAGAATCCACGGTCGTCCGTGAAGAGGGGTCGAAGGCGACAATGGAGGTTGCAGACGTGCAGGGCCAGCAGGGCATGCGGGAGGTAGGCAGGTACCTATGAAACAGGTTGTGATGAACCCGACATGGATGCCACAGCCCACAAAGCGAGCCACAGTATCTGTACGAGTCATCTCCTTTTCCGCACCATTACGTTGTTGTAAAGGGGCGCTGGAGACATGAGTCGTGGAGGTGCTACCGTATCACTGCCAACATGAAATGTCCAGGACTCCAGACGGAACCGAGCGACTGAGGTGACGAGGTCTCTTAGTTCCAGGGGGTGACGCGGCAACCGACGGTCCACTCCGCAGGAGGCAACGGGGATCGAAGGTCCGATGTGGTCAGTGGTCACTGGAAACAGTCAGCTTCACCCAATAGCACCAGCTGACCGGCCCAGAACCAAAGTACCTATGGTTGGGGGCCGCACTGCCGCAGCGGCGATCTGTGGTACCAGACCAATACCGACGATGCCGGCCATAGGTCCAGGATTCTGTTCCAAGCTTCTTGCACTTTTGTGCCATGAGTGACAGCTTTTTGCTTAGTTTGCCCGTAGGCTCACCGATGGTCTTTAGGGTTCTTGAGCATCAACTTGGACTTGAAGGGGCACATACATGATACATGTACATCAAGTGGAAAATACCGTATTGACTATTGACCATAACCCGGTTCTACGATGGTGGAGTGGTGTGCTATTTTAACCAGCGCACATTATGCCTCTTATAGGAACTCGGCCTTCCTACTCCGATCTTGTATCGTACCGGAGGTGTGGTGGGAACCGGTGACTGAGCGAGTTACCTTATGTTTGAGGGCTGTTTAATCTCAATCCGGTTCTCCGGCTACCAATTTACGGCAGTCAATGTGTGGGAAAAGACCACTGGGGGATAATAACCCCCATTTTGGTCTGAGGGTGATGCAATCACCACAAGCTCATCACAACCTATTTCATACCACATGCCCTGTGCAGCTTCGCCCTTGACCCCTCCTGAGCCTCCTCTCCTCACGAACAACCAATCGCATGGACTATACGAACTGTCAGCCAAATCTATAATCGTCATATGGAAACCTAGACTTCCATTGTTGGCGGTGTAAGCCAAGGCTACCTACCTCCCTACCTACAGGGTCAATGGTCTTTTAAACACTTCTTGGTGTTTTGGAGTTGATGATCTGCAACTGTTTAGCAGTAGCATTCATACAGACACACCACTGCAGACTAATGCTAGTCCGAAACTGTAGAGTTTCTCAAGTCTTGTTTTTTGATTGGTGTATCTCGCGACTAGGCCTGATGGTGGACATGGATTCATGCATGCCCCCTCCCCGCCTTTACCAACTTTCGATGCCTGCACTTCTTGGGCTCTTTCTATCGTTTTGTCTGTGCAAAGACACGGTATACTCTACACTCCAAGTCGAAAGTCATGGGACACGATGGCACGATACTTTAAACGCCTTCAACAGAAGGTCAAATCCCTGAGAGGCCATACCGAGGCCATAGACTCTGCCAGCGCTTCTCATTCTTCACGTCCGGTGTCGGAGACTGGCGCCGCCCCTCTTCCATCTACCGGAGACAACTTGAAGACTGAAAACGACGCCTCTGCCCTCCCAGAAGAGAAGCCGGGCATCAGAAATGCCGTAGTTGCACCTGTGGCGGAAAGCAAGACGAAAAACGACCCATCTTCATTACGAAAGGAGGACCCGATAGACAAGGATGCAGACGTTGCACTCGTGTTCCTGTCAAGAGACCGCCAAGATCTTTGGCGAGAGGCATTCCTCAAGCTTGACGATGCCGAACGGGCCGCCCTCGACTTCGCTCCCGCGACCGACAGTGATGGTGGTAGGGGTCCCGAGAAAAAGCAGGAGGACATGGGGTTGGCGATACGAAAAATACTTGAAAGTGCCAACGCCATCAAGAAAAAAGATGAGGAGAAACGGTATACCACAGTAAGAGCCTCTAGACAACACTACTGTCACTACCTACTTATCAACGGGCAGCATGCTCACTCGATGCAACCTAGAAAATCAACAAGATCATCGACGGCACAACAAAGGTCAAGTCTTTGATCGATGCCGGGATGGCGTATGACCCGACCATGTACGGGCAGCTCGGTTGGGCCGTTCTCTCGTTTGGGCTGCAGATGGCCATCAACGCCAGAGAGATGCGCGAGTTCGCCCTTGATTCCAGCGAGTACATGGTCAACATCATTGCCAGGTATAGCATCTATGAGCTGCAGTACAGTGGTACTGCCCATCCTTCCGACACGACGGACGCCCTGCAGAAGTTTGAAGAGGGGGTGACAGCCGTTTACACCTCCATTCTCAAGTTTCTGGGCAAGATGAGAGAGTATCTGAACCAGAATTGGTTGGGTCAGTTGTGTGAACCCAATTCCTGTGTCAAGCTTGAGCCCTTGAAGTCTCGACTAACGTGGTGGAAAAGTACATGGCGCTGCTGCTGTGGTGCCGAAAGCCGAGCGAACTTTGTCCAAGACCAAGGAGAGTATTGTCGAGCAAGACCTCGCAGTACAAGACTGGGTAAGTCTGTATACCTGATTTCTCTCTGCGTTTTTGTTGTGCTTACAACTTTTTGTCAATATAGCTGCCGATTCTGGAGCATGAGAGTGTCCAGGGCCAGTTTCAAGCCGTACTCAAGAAGCTGGATGCGCTGGCCAAGCCAACTTACCAGGACGACAAGCAAAAACAGAAACTCGAAAGGAATGTTCTTTTTTTTTCTGCCCTTATTTGTCTACGGCCTACCCAGCTAACTCGGGAATTGGGTACAGCTTCCTGGCCGACCAAGAGAGAACGGCGATCTTGAGCTGGCTACCAGACGGCAACATGGACGGCACCCACGCCCAGATTCGCTCTAGGGCAGAGGTCGACTTCTCGCAAAAGTACCAGCCCGGCGCCTGGTTCTTGAAACATATCGACTTCCAGCTATGGGCAGATGCTCGGTGCTCTTGTGGTTTCTGGTTGCACGGAGATATGGGAGCCGGCAAAACCGTGTTGACGTCGACCGTCATCGAGCATTTTGAGCAACTCTACAAAGGATCGTCGGGAGGGGCTCTTGCTTACTTTTACTGCTCTGCCTCGGAGCCAACCCGTGCCGATCCTCTCAACATCCTCCAGGAAATCCTACGCCAGCTTGCCTCCACCGAGCCCGGCTTAGACATCTTTCGAGAATGGCAGAAGAAGAAGAAGCCGTCTAGCCTGACAAGGGATGCCGTGCTCCGACTGATCCTGCAGATGGTAAACCTCAACGCACATCGGCAGACGACGATAGTCATAGACGGACTTGACGAGATTGACAGGGGCGGCACGGGCCTAACCTCCATCACGGACGCGCTGCAGTACTTGATAGAAGCAGCCGATGGTCTGGTGAAAGTCTTTGTCTCAAGTCGTCCGGAGAGCCGTATCCGCGACCAGCTACAGTCTTGGTCAGGAATCTCGGTCGACCCCGGATCTACACGAAGCGACATTGATACCTATATTGAACTTGAGGTAGACAGGCTCCTGAGACACAAATCTCGAGTGGCAAGCCTCAAGCCGAAAGTCAAGCAAACTCTGAAAGAGCGAGCTGGTGGTATGTATGTATTATCTGGCTTTCCCTGACCGTCCTCAGCATCAGACTCCTCTAACGAACGCTCACCCTCTACAGGTTTCGCTACGTCCAAATGTCGACAGAATGGATATGCCACGGTGAGAGCCCTCTCGAGATCAACCAGGCCATCGCCGAGCTGCCGTCGGAGCTTGGCGGCATCTACCACGGCCTGTTCGAGCGGATACAGAGCCGGCGCAAGATACACCAAGACTATGCGCGTCTCGCTATCTCGTGGATCCTCGGCGCGGCACTGACACTCCGCGCGAGAGACGTGCTCCAGGCCATCATCGCGGGCATCGATGATGTCGATGATGTAGCCATCCTAGAAACCACGATGGATGATGTACTCACGGCCTGTGAGGGTCTTGTAACGTACAACCAGGCGCGGGATGTACTCGAGTTTGGCCACGTCTCCGTCCTCGAGTATATCCAGAAGGAGAAGCAGGATCTGTATGACCAAGCCCAGGTGCATCTCCGGATTGGCACCACTTGCGTCAGGGTGCTGGAGGGGATGAAGCAGATCTACCACTCACCGGAACCAAAATCCAACAACAACAGCAAGAACAGCAGCGACAACGGCTGGGACATACTTCGGCAGCGCATGGAATTCATCGGCCACTGGGCGTGTTTCTCTTGTCCCACCATCAAGGAACTGCCGTCGCGAGGCCGCAACGCCAGGACCTTTATCCAATACGCCAACCTCATGTGGGCGTACCACTGTGCCTCGTCCGGCGCAATCATCCGCGTGGGATCTGCCTTCGGATCCGCCAAGACGATTCTCCTCAACGGACAGGACCATGACGCCTACGGCATACTCCAATTCATCTCCGAGGAGCGTCTGATTTATATGCCGTATCGTGGCAGCCCGCACGATCGGACGCTGCACTGGATCACGCAGTTTGCAGTCGCCACCTCGGGATTTGCGAGCCTCCCTGTTAGGCTTTTGGTGGTGACGCATACGGGGCCTGATGGGGAGCTGCAGGAGGCGCTGATAGAAGGCCCGCCATCCGCTATTTTTATGGAGGTTAGTTGGTATTCCCCTGCGTATTCCCTTGCTTGGTTAGCTCAACTTGGCTGACTATTTGATGCTGACTATGTCTGGCCCTACCGTGACAGATCGTGGAGAGACTGGTAGAGTCGGCAAAGAATGCATCCGAAGAAAGCTCAAAATGATTACAGAACATTTGGCAGTGCGTTGGTGGCCTTGTAGGTAGCTCTAATTGCATTCAGGGGTAAAACGAGATGGCACTATCATATATGCCGGTCCTGTGGTGATAAATTGAAATCATGGAATTGTGTTCATGGCGGTCAATGACAAAGGGATTGAGGATTCTTTCCAATGTTTGCATTCAGTGCTCGTATTACTCAATGATGGCAGATAGTTGGACGATACCTCAAGCTGAAAACAGAAAGCTGCATTGCCCGGTCACAAGCCACAACAGTAGCGAGGCCTACTGCAGCGTTTAGACCCCACGCGTGGCGTACCTCCCTCCTAATTATCTCCCTTGCACACATCCCTTGCAAAGCAACTAACCTGAGCCAAGTCATGCGTAGGCGTCCACCATCACACAATCACGCGCACCCATGACATTGATTTCTGTAAATAATAATCAGAGCTCACCCTCTTCAGACACGGACAATGTCCTCCATCCCTCAACTCCCTCCGCCCATCGATACACCATGGTTTCCCAAAACGAAGACGACGTCGTCGCCGACGGTTCAAAAGCAACAAACTCCACAAACCCATCATAATCAACAGCTTTCCCAAGCGACCACCATTCCTCACCCCAACAATACCACCAACCCCCCCTACACCACCCCCCACCCCCAGCCCATCCTAACCACCTACCCCCCCACCCTCCTCCTCAACCTCCTCGCCTACGCCCTCCCTGCCCTCGTCCCCACCCTCTCCAAACTCTGGATCGCCTCCCTCGACCCCACCCTGGTCGCCACCACCGACGTCTACACCTACATCGGCGTCGTGGCCGAGGTGCTCAACGAGGGGCTGCCGCGCGCCGCGTGGTCCGTCATTGGCGACCGGGCGTCTCGGACGTGGGGACAGAGACTGAGGCTGACGCATACGTTGGTGGTGGTGCAGGGTGTGTTGGGGGCGATATTGAGTTTGGGGTTTTTGGGCGGGGCGAGGGCGTTTGCGGGGGGGGTTTGTACCCGGTGTCCCCGGGGATGGTGCTCGTGGGGGGGTGAGGGAGGTGAGTGTGGTGTATGTGAGGATTGCGGCGTTTTCGGCGTTGAGTTCGGCGGTGGAAACGGCGGTGGCGGCGGCCACGAGGGCGTTGGATCAGCCGGATGTGCCGTTGGTTATTGGGAGTGTTAAGGCCGTGGTGAATATTGTGCTGGATTTGTTGCTGATTTCGTGGTGGCATGTTGGGTCGCACACGCCGACGGTGCTGTGGCAGGCCGGGATCCAGTTGGGGTGTAACATGACGGCGGCGGCGGCGGGGTTGGGGTACTTTTTGGTGATGGTTAGTTGGAAGGAGCATCGTCGGCAGAAAGAGATGCGGCGGGTGGATGGGGAGGATGCGCAGGGGGGGCAGTCGGAGATGGAGTCGGATATGTCGTTGGCACCGAGCATCAAGGCGCTGATGGTGATTCTCCGTCCTGGGCTTCTCACCTTGGCTGAGTCGGCTATCCGCAACGCGCTCTATCTCTGGCTGGTCAGCAACATCGTGTCCATGGGCCAGACCTACGCCACCGCTTGGAGCGTCTTCAACACCATCCGCTGGGGCCTCGTCATGGTCCCCGTGCAGGCTCTCGAGGCTACGGCGCTGGCGTTCGTCGGCCATCAGTGGGGAGCCTGGCGCCGCTCCATCGGAACCAGCACTCTCCGTCCGGGACGCACCTCCCTGCGCACCGTCTTGGGCATCGTCAAGCCGGCTTTGATTTCGCTTGGTCTGGCCATGGTCGTGGAGGTGCCCCTCGCCGTCTTTCTCTCTCTCTGGGGCGCCCGGTCGTTTGCGAGGTACCTCGGCGGATCGGACGAAGTCGCCGAAGTGACAGCCTACATGTGGCGGACCATCGACTGGTGCTATATCTTCTACGCTGCGTCGACCCAACTATCCACCATCCTGCTTGCCACTCGGCCTAAGTGGTATCTCTACCAGAGCCTGGTCAGCAACCTCCTGTATGTCCTGCCATGGGCCATTGTGTGTCAGGTCAAGGCGCTGGATGCCGGGAATGCGTGGACCTACCACAGTCTTGTGTTTGGAGGGAGTCTGGTGTTTAGCTTTGTGGACGTTCTTCTCGTGGACGCCGTGTGGGTGTGGACGTTGGTGGCGGGAAAGGCCAAACTGGAGGTCTTTCGGGAGTAGTAGTAATGGCATTGATAATAAAATAGAACTGGGCATTATTGATGACACCAGCTTTCATTGACACTAGATTATTTACGAGAATGCAATAACACGAACCCCCTTTAGCCTTTAGGCAACGAACAGAGAAAGGGAGCTTCGGTATCAGAAGACTATAGAACCCAATGTTCTGGTACTTGACAGTTTGACAACTTGCATCCCCACTGGTCCAAAACCAACTGCTTAGGAGATGTTGGCCGAGAAGTTGTTGACAGTGAAGGTGGTTTGCCCGCCAGTGAAGGGTTCAGTGCCGAATTGGAAGACTAGGTTAACAGGTTAGCATCTTTATCCTCCGGCCCCAGGCACAACACAAAACTTACCAATCAGGTTCTGCTGGCTGGCCGGGTAGCCCTGGCTGTTCTGCAGGTGGTTGAAGAAGTCCTTGACGTTGGCGCTGAAGCTGTTGATGGGGCTCGACGCAACGAAGCTGAACACCTTCATGCTGCCGTTGTAACCGATAAAAAGCTCCCAGCTGCGGCCGCCGACATTGACGGTGCCCGTGGAGGAGCCAATGGGGTAGACATTGCCGAATCTTCCGAGCCTGACAAACAAACTAGTCAGCAGCCACTCCAGCATCCAGGGGCAACCTTACAACGGCAACTTACCAGATCATCAGTTCGTAGTCGCCGCTGCTGTTGACGTGGTTGGGGTCTGCCGCCGTGAACACATCGTACGCAACGTTGGCGCGGATGTTGGTGTTGCTGTAGGACCACGAGACCGACGTCTGCATATTGTTGAGGTTGCTGATCTTCTGGCCCTTGGCGACCTGCTTGCCACCGTAGGGGTAGCTCTTCACGTTGTTGTCGCCTCCGCTCCACTGCCACGTCGCGTGCCACGAGACGCCGCTGCCGCTGCTGTTGTCAACGTAGGTACACTGGGAGCCCCCCGAGGCCGCATCACGGCCCCAGTTGTTGTTGTTAACCTCATAGCCGTTGCCGGACCAGTAGCCATACTGGTCGCAGAGCGTCGCCTGCTGCCGCTTCTCAACCGCCAGGGGGCTCGCCGCCACCAGCGACGAGAGGAAAAGAAGGCTCAACTGCATGATGAGGAGAACGGCGATGATGATCAGGGTTTGGTGTTAATGATCTTGCTTGTCTTAGAGCATCCACTTGGTCTTAGCAAAGGATCTGCCCTCCTTTTATCATTTATGACGTTCACGTTGAACCTCCTCATGAACATATGCCTAGGAGTTTCAAAACAACTACCGTTACTACGAGAGCGGCTATCACCTTGGGCCTAGCCTCTTCCCCACAACGGCCATATTGGTTATGGAAATGTCATATACCTTGTCGTCCCCATCGTTTGAGATACAAGGTTACAATAAACCGTTGTGGTGGTCTCCGGGCCCGTACCCCAGATTCACCCTATCACTCTCGAACCTGGTTTTCCAGCGAATACCAAGTGCCGCTGGGCATTACCGAGGCCACGGAGTTTTATATTCTTCGGGCGGTCCCCGGTGCTTCTCTCGGTCCGTAGAGTCGGGACTCGGGGTCCGCTCCGCAACGAGTTGGAGAACGGAGCTGGTCCCGATCTACTACCTCTTTTGTTCGTCCCTGGGCGGCCACGCCGTTGAATCACGTCACACGGCACGGGAGATTCCTCTTATAACCGGCTCGACTTCGGGGTCTTCCTGCGCATCGTGAGGTTTGTTGAATACCCCATTGGAGCGCATGGGGTAGGGTGGAAATACCCCAAAACCGACGATCCGGATGAAACGCTGCCACTAACCGACTGCGGGGGAATATCCCGGGACCCGTCAGGGACCGGATCTCGGTACGGAGCGGACGATGCGCCCCAATGGGGACAAACTACTGCCGTCCCGCCTCCCATCGGCTTTTTACTTATTACCCGGGGACCGGGAAAGACCAACGTCCGCCCCAGCCTCACCCGCTCATCCCCCGTTCAGTTCCCTGGGAACTCTGTCATGGACTTGGCGCTAGTACGGGTAATATGGCCAAAATGACATGGCGCAGTGGGCTGGAAATATGCTTCCCCGCGTGCTGGGCCCCGAGTATTTATTGTGATTCGGGGGAGGTGGTGTGTTACAACTTTATGTGGCATCACCAATCTATGCTGCGACCTCCCTCGTAAGCTCTCCACCATGAAACTCTCCGTCTCGTGCCTGGTCGGCATGGGCGCCGCAGTCTACGGACTGGATGCCCCGTTTCAGAAATACCCCGACTGCACGAGCGGGCCCCTGGCCGAGAACAAGGTCTGCGACCGCTCGCTGCCGCCGGCAGAGCGCGCAGCCGCCCTGGTAGCTGCTCTCACCAACGAGGAGAAGCTGCAGAACCTGGTCAGGTATGTCATGCCTCGGCATTAATGGAGAGTCGAAGTTTTCGAGAAAGAAATGTGAAACACATGGAACTCCGTCTAACCTGTATCTCAGCAAGTCAAAAGGGGCATCCCGCCTGGGCCTGCCGGCCTACAACTGGTGGAGTGAAGCCCTCCATGGCGTGGCCTACGCGCCGGGCACGCAATTCCGCGATGGCCCCGGCGACTTCAACTCGTCGACGTCGTTCCCGATGCCGCTGCTGATGGCGGCGGCGTTCGACGACCAGCTGATCGAGGACATCGGCACCGTCATCGGCATCGAGGGCCGCGCCTTCGGCAACGCCGGCTGGTCGGGCATGGACTACTGGACCCCCAACGTCAACCCCTTCCGGGACCCCCGCTGGGGCCGCGGCTCCGAGACCCCCGGCGAGGACATCCTACGCGTGAAGCGCTACGCGGCCTCCATGGTGCGCGGCCTCGAGGGCCCCGGCCCGGAGCGGCGCATCGTCGCCACCTGCAAGCACTACGCGGCCAACGATTTCGAGGACTGGAAGGGCGCCACCCGCCACAACTTCAACGCCGAGGTGTCCGCGCAGGACCTGGCCGAGTACTACCTCTCCCCCTTCCAGCAGTGCGCGCGCGACTCGCGCGTCGGGTCCATCATGTGCTCGTACAACGCCGTCAACGGCGTCCCCGCGTGCGCCAACTCGTAACCTCCTCCAAACCATTCTTCCGCGAGCACTGGGAACTGGACCGAGCACGACAACTACGTGACCAGCGACTGGCGAGGACCGTGCTGGGACGTGTCGGCCAAACACCCCTTACGCCAAGACCACGTCGAGGGGACCGCACTGTGCTTCGAGGACCCGGCATGGACACCAGCTGCGAGTACGAGGGCTCCTCCGACATCCACGGGCGCCTCCTCCCAGGGCCTGCTCTCGTGGGACACGGTCGACCGCGCCCTGCGCCGCCTGTACCAGGGCATCATCCGCGTCGGCTACTTCGACGGCGACCAGTCCCCCCACGCCAAGCTGGGCTGGAGCGACGTCAACCAGCCCGAGGCCCAGCGCCTGGCCCTGCAGGTCGCCGCCGAGGGCATCGTGCTGCTCAAGAACGACGGCACCCTCCCGATCCCCGCCAAGAAGCCCAACGTCGCCATGATCGGCTTCTGGGCCGACGCCGGCGACAAGCTGTCGGGCGGGTACATCCTCTCTGCTGGTCAACGCCCGCGTTTGAGCACTCGCCCGCCTTCGCCGCGCGCCAGCTCGGCTGGCAGGTCAAGGTCGCCAACGGCCCCGTACTCGAGGGCAGCTCGGCCAAGGACACGTGGACCGAGGGCGCGCTCGCGGCCGCCCAGGACGCCGACTACATCCTGTACTTTGGCGGCCTGGACACGTCGGCGGCGGGCGAGACCAAGGACCGCATGACCATCGACTGGCCCGCGGCGCAGCTGGCGCTGCTCGAGAAGCTGGGGGCGCTGAAGAAGCCGCTGGTGGTGGTGCAGATGGGCGACCAGATCGACGACACGCCGCTGCTGGAGATGGACGCGGTGAACTCGATCCTGTGGGCCAACTGGCCGGGCCAGGACGGCGGCACGGCGGTGCTGCAGCTGCTCAGCGGCGCGAAGAGCCCCGCCGGCCGCCTGCCGCTCACCCAGTACCCGGCCAACTACACCGAGGCGGTGCCCATGACCGACATGACGCTGCGCCCGTCGGCCACCAACCCGGGCCGCACCTCACCGCTGGTACTCGACCCCCGTCAAGCCCTTCGGCTTCGGGCTGCACTACACCACCTTCAAGGCCGAGTTTGGCGCCCACCCGCTCCTGGCCGGCCCCAGCGGCGGTGGTGGTAACGGCAAGGGGAAGGGCAAGGATGGCAAGGGCAAAGGCAAGGGCAAGGGGCTCTCCCAAACCGCGGACGTCAAGACCACCGCCATCGCCGACCTCCTGCGCGACTGCACCAACCAGTACCCGGACACCTGCCCGCTGCCCCCGCTCCCCGTG